TGAGCCAAGAGAGTCTTTTTTTCCCGGGGGGGGGGGGGGGGGGGGGGGGAGGAAGGTGGCAGGGTGTCAGAGAGATGGGTTGAGTGGGCAGAAGTATGATGCTGGAAGGCAGAAAGTTAATGGGAAGGAGCATTTTCCAGCTCAGCCCATGGTTTTTATAGTTCTGGCCTGCCCCCTTCCAGTCACCTGGCTAGCTGGCAGCAATCAGCTTTTAACCCATACCCTGCCAGCAGGCTGTGCCCAGAAAGTTCTGATCTTAAAGGGACCAGCCTGCTTTCTGGTAACAGGGCTAGGGTTCCCTCTTACACACTCTCACCTGGAATTGGCTGGACTTTCCATCCCCTGCCTCAACCATAGGGGATCCAGCCCACCTCCTTCTTCCATGGTTCAAAAGGCCAACTGGACACAGGGGAGGAGAACTTTAACTACCAGCTCAGCAGCTGGATGGTGTTTGAGGTTGCCTTTGGGTGACTGAATGCACTTGGAAGTCTCTGAGAGTCCCCCTTGAGATCTGGCTTAGAAATGTTCCCACCTTCATGGTTACAGATTGCAACCTGCATAATGTGTGTGAGTCAAAGGGGGAACGCGATGGCACTGGGTGCAGGCTCCTCTGGGCATCCTCCTGAACCAAGTTCACACAGTGGCCCTGGTAAAGGGTGGCTGTAACAGGAAGCCAGGGGTTCCTGTAACTTTAAGAGAAAGACTGAAGCAAAAAGTCTGCAGGAAGTTGAGCAGGGGTTATCTGCAAGAGAGAAGGCAACAAGGAAGCAGCTGCAGCCTAGGCAAAATAAGCTTCCTATTTGTCTGAGGGGACATACCTGTGGCCAGTCAGGGGAGTACTTGGCCAGAAGGGGAGGAGCCAGAGGATATAAGCTTCTGTTCCTGGGGCAAAGGGGCAGTGCAGCCATGAACTCTGCTGGGTGAGGCACTTTTGCCAGCTCAGGCTGTTAAGGAGTGGGAGCTATAGGCCATGGCAGGAACCTCAGGGCTAAGAGATCCAGAAAGTGGGGAGGTGGCTTGGCAGTAGTATGATGACCCAGAAGAGGGACTTTGAGGGTTTGAGTTAAAAGTGGTTGCTTACATTTTTTTGTTTAAATGTATACTGGATCACTGGATATGGCTGGAGAGGGGCTGGAGGGGCACTTTAGGTTTGAGCCCTTTTAGGGGGAGGGGCATGAGATGGAAGCAGGATGAGGACAAGAAGAGGAGGTATGACACTGATAGGGGGTAACAGAGGCAGCCTGAGGCTGAGAGGGCCAGAGTATGAACCCAAGGGGAGTGACAGAGGCAGCCAGAGGATGAGAGGGCCATGGTCTGAGCCCAGTGTGGGCAACAGAGGTCATTAGAGGCCAACGAGAGGCTGAGACTCAAAGGCTAGGCCACAGCCAGTGGGCCCAAGCTTCCAGTCAGCAGCCAGAGTAACCTGTAGGCTAAGGTTAAGGGGGATGAAACCTACACAGGAAGGGAAGTGGTAACCAATTGACATCTGCAAAGTTATGGGTGTAGCTATGTGTGTTGCAAGAGGGCATGGTTAAGAGTTCTGAGGCTTAAATAAAGGTCATTCGCACCATCAGTGGTGACCACTGACTCACCATGCCAGCCAGGAACCACTAGGTCTGTTGTGGCAGAGAGAGATACCCACAGAAAATGGAGTAGTTTGAAGGTAGAGAGACAAGGACCCAAAGACCTTTAGGGGTTGGTTAGATTGGCAGAGGGCAGTGAGAACACTCCAGGACTTGGGGACAGCCGCCCAGTTAATAACAAAGGAACATCAAGGGGTGGCAGGTGAAACAAGCAAGGGAGGTTATATAGAGAATGTGGCAGGCCAGTAGGGAGAGCTCCTATGTTGAGCGTCCCACCTCACTATGCCCGTCCACCTTCCGGACTCCATGTGTCTGTCCAGGGGCGCCTAAGCCCGGGCAGACCCGCTTTCAAGCCCCACCACAGAGTCCAGGGGTAACATGTGATGCCACCACCCTGAGAAGGGACTGTCTCAGTCCTATGTCCTTGGGGAAACACAGGCCTAATAGTCCTATGGGTACTCGACCCAATACAAGAACTTGGGGCACCTCCCCAAGTTGGGGGCCAAAAAAGAAGATAGTGTCCCTTAGTTTGCAGACCCAAGGGGCCTCCTAGGCATAATTAAACCCACCCCTCAATAAGTCTCCTACACCAGTCACAAAGGAGAACTTTATTGCTCGTGACAGGGTGAGATAGAATAGGGTAAAAGGTAGAGCACTACAAGGGATTACCATTGAGCAAAACAATCTGGCTGAGGAAGCTATTTGATATGCAAATGCATCACTGTGAGCTGACTAGCTCTCTAGAAACTCTTACAAGTATCATTCAGAAGATGGTAGAGATCTGGCTTGGAGATTTCCAGAGAGAGAGCATTTCAGAAGGATCAGACTCTCTCCCTGTGTCCTGATGCTTGAGTCATGCTGGTAAAATGGCTTCTCTCTTCTTCTTCTTGGACCAGGCCCTTATATAGCCTTTCTGACCTCAGCAGCCCTGTCCAATAGAAGCCAGCAGTGTTGGCAACTAGCCAACCAATTTAAAAAGCATCACTGGTTAACTGGGCAGATGAGCAGGGGCCTTTCCCTCCCCCCACTCAGGTAACCAGAGGGACCACACCCTAGGCACCAGGCTTTTGTCATGTAGGCAGGGAGGAAAATCCGCCCCCCCCCTTAGGAATTCAACCCCAGTGTCTCAAGCTGGCAGAGACAGATTCCTGGAGAGAGACACAGATAGTGGCATTTCTGCCAGAGAGGACTGAGTGCAGGTGGGATTATGATGGCCATAGGGGTGCCATAGCCACTCCAGGGCCAGTCCTGTTACAGAGAGCCCTGGTTGAGTACTGCAGACAGGCCTACCATGAGGACATTCTAATCAGGGAGTCCTTGGATCACTTCTTCTTGTGGTAGGAACATGCTGTTTTGTTGGAGGGGAAGACTTAGTCAGACAGCCAACTGAACTGAGCATCAGACTTTATCTCCCCTATAAAAGCCTTTCATTTGACAAGTTGGGCTTCATGTTTTCTGTTGTGGTTGATTCAGGGGGGAGTTGGGAGGGGGAGTTGTGAGTTGTGCCTTGAGGGGGCAAGGCACCATTCTCCACAGGGCTTGGGGGGATGGCTTGGTCTGGCACAGGCAAGGGAATTGACTGGCAGGGGACACTGGATGACAGTGGGCCTCTATGCTCAGTGGTGCATTCCTACCTTGGGCCTGGGGGAGTGCTCTCTCTCCAGATACATCATGGAAAACTTGTAAATTGCTGGCATTATGCTTTGGAATTCAAACCTTCGTAGTAAACTCTCCCCCAGCCCACCCTAGTTACTGCTGCAGTGTGGAGGGGGAAAGTGTGGAAGAAGTCTGTGATGGGAAAGAAGCCAGCCCAGCAGTGAAGCTTGCATAGGTGGGACTGAAGGTCTCGAGCTGCTGCCGGGGGGGGGCGGGATGTAGGGGACTTACACATGTAGGCTGGAGAGGGAGGTGTAGGGGAGCTTGGCTGTGCTGGCTGATGGGGAAACTGGGGCACATTCAGATGCACACAGTTGGAATCTTATGGGAACCACTGCCACCCTATCTATATACACATGGAGGCTTGAAGGGGAGGTGTCCTGGCTCATAGTGGTAGTGGTGGCACCATCACTGGCAGCCCTGACCTCCTCCATGGTGTCTGTGCTTATGAGGTGCAGCCTATGTGCCACACAGAGGATGCCAAAAAAGTAAATATCACAGACAGCCTTGACCATATTGACCCCATTGTCAATGACCATGAACCGATGGGTGAGCTCAACCTGCCCAATGAGTCACCCCTATACCATATGGCTCATGGCCACCATGATCTACCTTGCTGTGTGAGACTCATCCAGCACCTCAGTTTGGTGGAGGTGAAGTGCAAAGCTACCTGTGGCCATGCCTTGAGCAGCTGCTCGCTCAAGTACTCCCTGCATGCCTCATACAGGGAGGGCACCACTGTCCTGCTAAAGGTGGAGCATGTGGGCACTTGGTAAGATGGGGCCCTGAGTGCTATGAACCATCTGAACCCTGGCTGCTCAACTAAGGAGAAGGGCTGGCTATCCAGACCAAGCATCTCCCCAATGGTCTGGGTGATCTTGCTTGCTTTGGGAACACACCCTCCTCTGTCTGCATCTTTCTCCCACTGCTCCAGGGTGGGTTGCATCTGCTTTGTGGGGACAGGGGCTTTGGAGCAAGCAGGGAACTTTCCTTTGGGCATGCTCACTCTGGTGTCAGGCTGAGCAGGAAGAAGGGCCTCCTGAGATGCAGCAGCATTGCCATGGTGGTGAGGTGTTTCATCTCCTTGCCTCAGCTGATCTGCCTTCTGCAGTGCTAGCAGATAGCATACTTGGGATCATCTGCCACCTCAGAATGATCCCACACTACACTACTCCCCCACTTCTGGGTTCAGGGTGGTGATCCTGCCTTATCCCCCTCCTCAGCAGGCTGAAGTACGACAGCAGGAGGAGCTGACTCAGCTGAGCCACTTGCCTGAGCTTCCACAACCTCCTCCAAGGTACTGCTTTCCAGAGAAGGAGACCTGAGTCTAGGGGAACACAAACTCAGATTCCTCCTTGGTCCCTGGAATTGCTTTAGCCAGGGCACTCAGGTGCTCTAGTTCCAGTTCCAGCTCCTCCCCAGTGGGAGGCTTATGCTGGGAGATGAAATTGGGGTGGAGGAGACAGCCATTCTGCTGCTGGTGCCTATTGTTGGAGTTAGGGGAGGTGGTGCAGGTACAGGGACCACTGGTACTGCTCCCATCTCCTTGCTTCCACTGGGAGCAGAAGCCTCATGGCTGCTTGGGAAGAGGATGTGTCTA